TAACAAAGAACTGCTGAGAAAACGTTACCGGAAGGGAAGTAAGAAAACTTGCCCTGTAAATAATTAAATAGCTTGAGCGCTATAGTGAAAGAAAATAATCAAAGAATTACATACTTGGATACTGCCATAAGAAGGGATAAATAATATTTTAACCAAATCAATAGATTTGTGTGAGACGCGGATTTTGATCTCACAATATTGCTTTTTATTTTCTTTTATCGTCTTTTTTATTTCATTCTGAAGCCAATTAGGAGTATTTTTTTTTGCTTTTGTATAGAAAACTATAGTTTAGTGATATGATTCTTTTTTTGCCCCTTTAGCTTTCATCTAATTCATCTTAAGGGATCTTAATTTGAAGATCTGTATCTCTTTTTACTTTTCCATTTTTAAAGTACAAATCTACATGTAAAATATTGTGCTATTTCTGCAGCGGTTCCAGATTATGGACACTAATTGATTTTACTATGATGATTATCCCGGAATTTTACTATGTAGATCCTTTCCTTCATTGATGGATCACGAATTAATATTTTATATATTTTTTTATTATTAAGATAACAAAGATTATTTTTTTTTAAAAAAATAGACTTAATGATTGAAAAAAAAATTAAAAGTTTATTATGTAACTCGGGAGAAAATAATTTAAAGTAAAAAATTTATTATTAATTTATTTGCTTTGTTTGTTTATTTATTTAATTTTCAAAAGTTATCATTAAAATTATCATTAATGCTTAATATAAATAATAATAGTATAGTCAATCCTCAAGATTTTGAGATATTTTTTAAATCAAGTGAATTTCCTGATTACAACAACATTTTGTTTAAAAATGAAAATTATATCTCTGAATTATTACTATCTGTTGGGAATGTAAATGCAACAATTCCAGAACCATTAGCTTCATCCACCAAAGAAATTGTCTTTTACAACATTGTCAAAAAATAGTAAGTATTATATGCTTATTAACATTTTTATGATTTGTACAAAGTCAATTAAAGTTATATATTATATCATTTTAGTAAAAAAATTTTAGGTAAATGTGAATATCACCTATGACAACCAGAGTCCAATTATATAAATGAAGTTATTTTCAAATTTTTGAAACTAATTAAAAAAGTAGATGGTTTTATAGATGTTGTAACAATCATGTGAGTGTTTTTTTATTTATTTATAAATTTAAAAAAAATTTTTTTATTGAATTTTTATTTATTTCAGGGAGAGATCACCATAGTTGGCTCATCCAAAAGAAAAAGGGACAACTATAAAACAAATAATTCCAACTCAACCAAATCCAACAAGGGAAGAAAATCCGACATAATTATTAGTAATCAAAACAATTTATCAGAGTTTTTTGATTTATTAATTTGTGAAGTTGTTGGTGTTCCCAACTTTATTGATAAATCAAAATATATGAACAATAAAATTAAAGGGAAATGAATGTGCATAGACACAATTAACTTCATCTCTGAATTGTTTATCAAAGATTATCACAACATTTTAGAATATGAAGACATTAAATGTTTAATGGAAAATTTAAAGATCTTTTTTTTACTAATTTATAGTGAGTATAATTTGTTTTATTAAATTGCAAACAATAGCACCATTATTACATTGTTTTATTTTTTATTATTATAGAAAAACATTGGTATCTCTATGTGTTGGATCATCCTAAGGATGGAATATACAGATGCAATTGTATCAAAAAAATAGAGTTTCCATTTGTACCCTCTTTTACAACAATCATAATGGTACCAATAACACAATGAACTTGGTGCATTTATATAAATTATTATATATTTTATTTGTAAGTATTCAATTGCAAGCTTTATGAATTTATCAGTAATAAATTAGATTTTCTAATAACAATTTATTCTTTATATTAGAATTTAATAAATGAAATTGCAAATAAAATATCTAAATTAGATATTAAGTTAAGAATTAGGAATAGTAAAACTAATTCATCTGATACATATACTAGTGCAGCAGAATTTTTCAAAAATTCTATATGAACAATACCACCAACACCTGTATCATCACCTCAATAATTTGACTTATTCTAGTAGAAAATTTCAAAAATAGAATTTGTAAAGATATTAATCTGATGGTAACATCTATTATTAATAATATTAATAACAATTATCATTTATAATAATTTTTTTAGTTAAAAGCAAATAATAATTTGGTGTTATGGAGATTACTAGAGTTCCAAATGAGGATGATTCAATAATTTATCAAAAACTTCAAAGAAATTACTTGGAAGATAAAATTATTTCATGATAATTATGACTGGGTGTGATAGGAATTGAAGTAGAAATGTATAAAAAAATTTAAAATATTCTTTTTAAAAAATATACTGTACACACCCCTACAAAAAGTATCAACTCACTTGATGATCTGCCAAAATAATCGAATAAACGGGTAATACAAATACTTGTTTTTTTACTAAGGAAATCGATGTTGTGTATTAGTGAGAAAATGTTTGTTGAAATGATTACCATAATAATCTAAAATATCACATTGGGTCGATTGTTATTGATGATTTTATGATGTTTAAAAGTCAAATTAAAATTTTTCAAAAATTTTTCAAAAAAGTAGCACTTAGAGCTGTTTTAAGATACAATGTTTTAACACATCTTGGAAACTTAAAAAATGTTGTTCCATTTGTTCTCAAATGTATATATATAAATGTTCATAATTATTGATTAATTATTCATGGAGAATTAATACAAAACATAAAAATAATGAAAAAAATTTTCATCCACAGTTTGTATAATATTTTTACATAATAAATCTTTATTAAATTATATCAAAAGTATCAAAAAAGTATAAATATTTCATTCATTTATTCAATAT